TTGTGAGTGGACTGAGTGAGGAGGATGAAATCAGACCGAACTGCCTCAGAGAAGGTGCCCTTCTCTTCCCTGTCAGCGGAGACAGCAGCCAGGCATCTCCGGCTAAAGAGAAAGGGGTCTGGAAGTCAAGAGTGCTGTCTTCAGATTTCAGAACACCTCTGCCTTCAACATACACTTTGTGTGTTAATGGCCAGGGTGTTAACTTGTCAACTGGCACTTTTTATTTTTTTCAAGATATTGTTTGAAGGCTGGCCAGAGATGGCTGCCTTCAAATCCCCTCTCTCAGCCTAGTCCACCCTGTGGGTTCCTTGTGAGGATAAAAACATTGAGATGATACAGAAATCACAGGGGCTAAGGGCACATGGGGAGAACCTTGGGGGAAGTAATAAAGAAACAATAGTTTGTTTATTATTCACAGGAGTAACTAAGTAACGGTTGATAATGTTTATCCCTAATGTTTGCTTATTTCAGCAGATAAGTAGCTGTTAAAGGAACAGTTTGGGGCATTATTTTAATGAGCTGATTTGTTTAATGAGCACCAAGTTGCTTGGCCCCACAGTTTGAATCCCCCACTAGCTCTGTGAACTCCAAGCTGTTTCTTCTGAAATAATTCAGTTTCTGCTTAGTAGGTTGTAAACCTGGTAGAACTCTATGTGCCTCTAGGATTATTCTGCCTTTATGAGGAGAATAAAATGCAGGGGAGAGCTTTGAAGAGTGTTACACAGAAGCTCCTATGCCTCTGTCTGGAAGCGCCCACTCTATATACTGTTTTGATACTTACGGTATTTCCTACACCGCTTGCAGACCCTGGCGCCTGAAACACTGTTCATACATATTCAGATAAATAAGAACAGGATAGCTGGATTGGACTGAGGCATACATAGTTTAGCATTATGCATTATGTTCCTACAGTGGCTGCTCATATGCCTCCAGAAGTCCACAAGCAAGACCTGACAGCAATGGCAACTGGTATTCAAATACACATGGCCTGAATATAGTAGACTGCCACCACTACAAGTGGTCCCTAGTTCCACCTTTGTCATCCTTGACTGCCATGCCGTGGAAAGCAACTCAGTGTTTTCCTTTGTTACTTTTTGTTGGGCACTGTCAAGGCCCACCACAAACCACACTTTCAGGAATGGGCTACTGTCCTCTCCCTCTGCTGAGAGAGGAAGCACAGAAGTTAACTGCTCAGGCATATAACTATAGTGGTTTTCTGAAAAACTAATTTTACTTTACAACTTATTGAGGAGAAAAGGGACAGAAGAAAGGTGGGATACAAATATTCTAAATACACATTTTTCTTCTAAAATGCTCTCTCTAATCAGATTGCCAGCAGTTTGATAACAATGGAGAAAAGGTAATTTCTTCCAACCTATTGTTATCCTACGATTTAGTATTGGCTGAAGCCACTTTTAGATTCCTTTCTCTTTATGGCCAAGGATATCTGGATAATCTATGTGAAAATATGGTTTTGTGACATTGAGAATAGTATTGTACTTGTGGGATTTTACTGGACTGAATGGTTCTGGCATTATGCAGTTATTCTGTCTCTTTTCTTTAAATAATTTTCTCTCCTAAGAAAAAGGATTGAAGAAACAAAGGGAGAATGGGGGTTGCAAATTGAAGATATCGTTCAGATAAATACACATCCCCCCCCCCCGAAAGTTCAGGGATTGGGCCATTCTGAGACTAAAATAAAACTGCAATCTAAAGAGCCCTTTCTAAATTGTAGAATTATCATAATGCAGGCTGCCAGACTGGTAGGAGCCAAGAAAGTAAAGCATCCAGACCTGCACTGGTTATTAATGTTTCCCCTGTTTTGTCACTGAATTGGTGGATTTCTGTCAGGCACAATTCAGAATGCCACATTTCTATACAAAATACCGACTGTTCCTGCAATCATCGGCAACAGGATCAGCCAGGCAGTGGGAAGATGAAGAAGAAAGGCAAGAGCTGGAAAGGCTGGTGGGAGAGGTCTGGGAGCCCCAATTAAACTGCACAGCTAATGAAGCCTTCTGGTACATTTAATGATGCACCCCTCTGCTGGCAACAATTACACTACTGGGAGTGGGTTTTGTCTTCGATCTGGGAGACATTTCTCTGCCACCTGGGGTGCCTCTGGTAACTATACACCAAGGCAAATGGGGGGAGGTCTGGGAGCTGGGGAATGCCCTCTATGCCCTGTTTCAGCAGGGAACAGGCTGGGGGCCCATCTGGCTTGGAATTCAAACCTTAGTGATGCTGCAATACCCGCCACTGGGACACCAGGCACAGTAATTAACTTCTGAATGGAAACACTTATGTCCCCAGAAGGACCTGCTCTGTGGAAAGCTTCACAACCACTCTATGTTACAAACTACAAACAGGGTGGCCTCTGTAGAAACGTCTCTAAACTAAAAGTTTTTGAAGGGTGATACCATTTCAAACAATCACACCTCTAGCCCACAAGCCCAACACTCCCTCTGACCATTTAATCCTGGATGGGGCATCTTTGCACATTAGTAAGGGAACTGCACTTTGTTTGTTCTCAGAGGAAGTGTGTTATTATTAAGGTCCTATTAAGAATGTTCCCTACTGTTCCATTGTTCATCTGATTTATAGGCTACAAATAGTAATAGATTATTTACTCTTTTACTGTTTTGGGGTCTTTTTCTACAGTGGTTCATTTTGTCAGATTATACATATGACAAAGTATACAGATAATGACACCATATGTGTGTGTGTGTGTGTTTATACATATGCAGTGTGTGTGTATGCAGTATGTATATACTCTCTCTCTCTCTGCTACAATAAAAGTAAAGCATGTTCTGACACCTTCATGACCGATACATTTATTATGTTAAACTTTGCCAGCTAGTAGAATGTTTATCTACTCTTTAAGTGATATTTCCAGCAATAGGGATATATAATACAGAGACCACATGTAATTGCCTAAGTCAGAGTTTACCCCCCACCTGCAATGATCCTATATCCCATTCACTCAAAAATACTGTACTGAGCTTTTAGAACATAATATGACTAATGAATAATAGCCTGGAGGTACCTTTCAATCACAGAAACTAAACTAGTCAGAAACTATGTTCTAATGCTCAGGATACTGCTAATCCCAAATTGCTGGAGATGAATACTGTACTAGGAGAGGGATTCCCTGTGTGTCCCTTCTGTTGGTATACATAATGTTCTGCAATTTGTGTGCTGGGAAGAGGGGGTGAAAACAGAGTACAAAGGAAATAGCTTCACTGGACAAAGACCACTTGTGGGGGGGTACCATTCCTAAGGTTGCTAAGCCACATGGGTGTTCTAGTGAGGGAAAACTCTCCTAGCATCCTGTGGCTGATTCTGAGGGAAGGAGCTGCCATCATTCTCCCTCCTTCTCATTATCATAGAGAGCTTGGCATAGAAGCCTTTCCTTAGGCCAATCAAAGGGCTGGATTAATTGCCTTTCCCCAGACCAACCCTAATGTAACCATTGTCCTATCTGGACCCTGTCTACTATCTGTAATGCTGTCACTACCTGTGACCTTGTAATGTTAATGAGGGACAGAGGACTTCTCATTCTGCTTCCTTGCTGAGTCGCCCACCAGGAGTACTGCTGGCAGACATCCATCTGTGTGTGTGGCTGACTTCTTTAATCTATTGCTAAGAGACTCTTTGCTATCCTATCACCACAAAGCCCATCAGCCTGCTCATTGCTTGAAGCCCAACAACCACTCATGTAAATCTGTACTGAAAAGCCATGACAAACACTGTGTTGTAAGTCCTGTCCCAAGAAAAAAGTTGCATATAATCCAACAACTATTACCTTAATATAGAGTTTCCACTGTTGTCTGTATCGTCTGCCTGTGTAGAACACCTTCCATGTGAGCATTTTCTGGCAAGACCTTTCTCTCTATTGCCAAAGAATCTTAGACACATCTAAGATGCATGCCCCGTTCTTGTGGAGGAACAATGGCAGAGCCTCTGAGACTTCTTCTTTGCCCTGCATGAATTTAGACCACAATCTTTAATCAGTCCATGAACAGTTTCATGCTTTTTAAACTAAAAAAAAAATCCCACACCATGTTTAATAATGCTTAGGCCCTAAGAAACTGTTAAGTCTTAACTGAGTTACCTGGAAGTTAGCCCTATTCTTACTTCTGAGCAGACATGCATTCTTAATCTGCATGCAGATATATATATATATATATAAGTTAAAAAAACGTTAAAAAGAAAACTGCCTTTGTATGTGTATCTACCTCACATGAAACCTACCACCTAAAATGTCTGTTTATCTTTAAAGCTTCTTTTAAGACAGACCTTAATTTAATATGGTATTCGCTTGATCCTTTTTACTCTTCTCATACTCATTGTTTGTAGCTTTAAATAATGTATGGTAATGAAGGAAACCACCTTGGGTTCTTTTTAAGGAAACAGGTAAGGTAAAAGTTTCTAATCAATAAATGTATCTACTTTTACCTGTATTTTAGAAAAATAAAAATAGAACTGTACCTCAATAAACAGGACACATTTTAGACCATGAAAATATTTCATATAGTATATAATTTATCCATTAATTGACTTCAACCCTGAGGACCCAAGATTTATATATACAGTACAGTATATTTCTTTCAACTCTTACGGGGGGGGGGGAAGAGAAAATGTAATAATATGGCAGTTTGAATAACCCTAGGAGTGTAGTTTGTGTGGTGGCTGAAATCCTTTGTGCCAGACCCCACCCCACCTCCATCTCTCTGCTTAGTCCACCTCACCAGGCTATTATTAAGGGCCAAGAGAGAAAGGTGTGTTTTTCTGGACACAACCCAGAGCAAAGTGCTGCATAAACATGGGTATAAAATAATTACAGAAGTATGTTTATGAAAGCAAAATATTTATATAGGCTTTAATTCTGTACAATACAAGCATTTTGGTGTCACAATAGTCATTCGTCGCAATTTTCTCACAGCTCTGGGCCCACAAGAGGAAAGGATGAAAACTGTGGAAATGTGCCGTTTTTTTCGGGGCAGCCTGCAAAAATCCCTTTTGGGGCAGGAAACCCACCTCTCTTCTCTTTTTAACACCACCACCGGGACCGGCAACACAGCGGTAGGGTTTTGCTTTGTTTTGGCTCTTTTTAACCACTCTTCCGAGTGTTCTGAGGTAAACAAGCCTTTTTTAGAAGTCTTTTTTATCGATGGACCTAATAGTTTTTCAAATCACTGAAAATCTGTCGTGGCCCCAGAAGGGAGGCACGGCCGAGGGCCGCCCAATAACCCCCCCCCCACACACACACCGGTCCCTTTTTACGGATAATGTGAAATGCTGAAGCGTTTCTGAGGGGAGAGCCGAGGAGCCTTTTTTCAGGGCCCTCGAAATAAACCCGCGAGCCTCCGTGTGTTTTTTTGGGGTATATACCTGAGGCGCGCTTTGTGACCCTTAGACGAGGGCGGGGAGAGGCATTTCCCATCCCTTATTTACGGAGGGAATGAAACCTCCTACCCAATCTTCCTCCTTCTTGCTCCTCCATTGCCATATTTTTTCCTTTTTTTTTACCTCACTGAAGCGTTGAGACTGGGCCGCCTCAGCCTCGGCTGCGCATGCGTGGCACGGAAAGGCGCGCGGAAGGGCCTCCAGTGGCTGCGTGTGGGAGAAAGCAAAGGCAGCGTCGCGCGCCTGCGCGCTTCCCCGCTGAGAGGCGTATTGGGGACAGCGGGATTCTCTCACCCCTCCCCCACAGAGCCCTTTCCCTTCCCTCCTTCTCCCCCTCAGCTCGCGCGGAAACGTCCCAGCGCGCATGCGCAGGCGGCTTCCTTTTCTCTGTGTGTGTATCTGTGCGGTTTTTCTTTCTCTCTCTCTTTTTTTTGGGGGGGGGAACCTCCCCCTCCCTCTTTTTTCCCCTCAGCCTCGTCCCTCCGAGGCCCCTCCTTAGGCGGGCGGCCAATCAGGAGGCAGCTTCCAAAGCGCGAGGACGGCGCCCGAGCCCGCTGGTTGGTCAGCAGGCTGGGGGCTGGAGTGCGCCTGCGCGCCAGCGATTGCGAACGAGCGAGCGACGCTGTGAGGGCAGCTGGTGCTGCTGCTGAGGAGAAATTAGGGAGGCGGAGGGAGGCGAAGAGCAGCGCCGCGGAGCCTGAGCGGGAGCGGCGGCAGCGGCAGCGGGGCAGCAGCAGCATCAGGAGG